TTTGTTCGCCAATCAGTTGGATTTTCTGTATGATTTGCATAATTTCCAATAACATTAATCAAATTCTTTCTGGATAAAATAGATACTTTAGGTGATAGAAATTTCCAGTGCAATAACATATACTTGCACATTGCATGCTCATTAAAAACATATACAGGGGAATATATTCATTGGACCATTTATTGGGGTTCATTTAATTGGAATGAGAGTGGAATTGGTTGATGGTACACCGGTGGTGGTGAATCACCGCGATTTGTATCGCTGGCAGATCATTATTCATCAGACTACACGTCGGATATTAAAGAAATCGGCGCAGTATTAAAAATGAAATCAGGATCTCGGGCACGAGGTCCATCCATGTTAGAATAAAAAATAAACTGCTTGATTGCACTCTTTGGATGAATAGATCGACCCGCCATTGTACGTTATTTTATATCCATTATTCTTATAATTCATTCACCAAAACTAATCAACTCATTATTCTTTTTTATTCTTATTACACTAATCAACCTAAATGAATTATGAATCGATTTATTTATTCCTTCATTGTTTTCCATTTTGCTGCTTGCACCTGCAATTGTGTAATATTTAAACAATAGAATGCGGATGTAGTCTTTTCTTAACCACATCATAAACTCATGCATAATGTAATGAAGCTACACATGCACCTTGCAGAGTGCGAAGAAAATATTGTAAAGTGTTAAAAGTTCGATCAGACCCAAACGCACGTGTGTACAGGAAGCGGAAGCGCTCTGTGGGAATATGTGGAAAGCCACAAGTGGTCAAAGGGGACCAAACGTAATGATGCGCATATAAATAAACTTACGTCGAATATAAATATCAAGATATTCGTGCTTAACAACCAGGTATAGATGACACTTGTCGATAATTGTTATTTCGTGACGAGGATCCGATAACACCTGCATGACTTTTAATCGTTTTGAATTACGTTAAGAATTTTATTCCGGTTAATATACATATATGTATATTTACGTCTAGAATTTATTTCATATTACTATATTAATAAAAAATTTAATTAATAAGATAAATGATTCTGATAAAAACAATAATGATAATTGTTATTATTATTATTATTATTAATTTTCCATTAGTAAGCTATAGTAATGAAGTCGATTTGTTATTTTTTATTTTGAGTAGGATGTTATTGTAAGTTCACTTTGTTTAAATCATTATCAGAGTTGAGCATTGTTTGCTGAATGGTTGAAAGAAATAAAATGTGTTCCTTAGAATTTAAATTCATGTAATCGGATAATTTTTTTTTAATTAAAAAAAAAAAAATAATTAATTAAAAAGTAATTCATAGTGCACTTGAGAATCTTTTCTCTGTTCTTTATAGTCTTTATATAAAAAATACTTCAAAGGAATTTTTTAATCAAGCCAACTCTTTGTGAGAGCAAAATTAAATTCAAGGGAATAAAGGAACTTGGCCAAAAACCAACATACAAACTTGATGATGGGATATTGAAGAGGATCGTGTTTAAATCGATATATACTTTGCTCTTGTTTTATTTTTAAGACTATTATCTTGGACGTTTGCATGACCTAAAGCTATTAAGTTTCGTATTCATAAATATTTGATGATCTTTTGCCTCTTCATTTAACATTTAGCAATCGTTCAAGTCATGTGGTTGAATCTTACTTCGTTATGCGAGAAATCGATTTTATCGCCAATCCTGTCGTTCTGAAGAATCATTAAGAAGAAATTGGATCGTTACTGATTCACTAAAATTACCCCTTTTCATCGATGACAATTCGTTTCTGTAATCACTTCATTTCAACTCAATTCCATTCAGCTGTTTCTGTGATAAATTTTTATCGTCTGCTTTAATGAATATTTTTATCATTTTATATTTAAAAATGGCAAGTTTTCACACCTTGTTACAAGAGACAATGCATTTATGGTAGGATATTTACTATACTTTTTACCTAGATGTGAATTTCAGCCCCTAAAAAAATGATTAGGCAATTTTTTACCTGCCAAATATCCATTTCTACATCTTTAGGTTTGCTAACTACCTCGCGGCGAAAGACGGAGATCGTGATGGATATGTGGCATGTTTCAGCTGGCGTCGGAATAGTTTTCAAAAATCTTGTAAGCCAGTAATATTTGCTGCGCGAAGTCGTTAAGGGTCTGGCACCAACACGCGAAGGCTTTGAGTAGATAATCAGCTATGGTCTTATAATGTACTTGGGGGCGTGCGAGGATAACGTATGGCCTGAAATATTTAACGAGAAGATAATTTGCTCAGCCTGGAAATCTTTCAGATGCATCCAGAAGTGTGAATGCAGTCACTTTATGTACATCTATGTATAGTAAATAATTCTGATGATTTTTGTTTGTTAAAAATAATCAAAAATTTCACACAACTCGATATTATACAGTAGTCTAACTTGGATTAGAGAACACACACGTTCTGCTTCTTTCAAAAACAATCTCCTCCAGGCTATATCTTTCAGCTGTATTCATTAACACCACATCAAACCGTTTACTCTCAACTACATTTTTTTAATGGGAAATTTTTTTTTTCTTTGGTTTCTAGTTTAGAATTTATTTTTCCTACTCACGAGAGTTCATCTAAAATGTTTTATATTTTCAGTTAATTACCTTCGAGAAGTAATAGTGGAGCAAAGTCAAAATTTAAAGTACACTGAGAAAAAATTCACTGTGAACAAGTAATACTTTTTTCAATAATAAAATCAAAATAGTTATAATAAATATTATAGGATGAAATATAAATTCTAAAGTGCTACTAACATCTTTTACTCTATTGTCATATAATTGTTCTAATTCAGCACAGTAATTTTATTAGAAGTTTCTAATAACTTTTATTGGAAATTTTTCTTGGTGTGATTGGTCTTTTTCAAAGCTTAATAATTTTTTTATTTTAGCAGATGTATCTCTAAAAGTAATCCTGCCTCACCTTGTATATAGCTGTATTGATATGGGTGATTATTGACAAGATAGTGAGGGCACTAGAAGTTGTAGTGATGAGAGTTGCCTTGAAATGGAGTCGAAAATTGCCACGAACGATGTATAGTTCTCTGTATTTACTTGAAACCGCGCAGGACTATGAGACTAAGAGGTATTATCCTGTCCGGCTGATCCCGTGTGGTTAGTAGATAATTATTTAAACTTTTTTATGGTAATATATCTTTTTGAATAAACACCGCCCGTGAGCGATAAGGAAATTTTTTTCTTCAACAACGAGGCTGAGAATTCACCCCAGGGATAAAGTGATGGAGTTTGTGCGTTGTCTTGTGTTTTTTTACCAGTTCTCTTGTCTTCCTTTTTTATTTTAAGATGTCGGTTCTTTCGTATCGGCTCGTAATCGCCTTTCGCAAGTGCACACCACCTGCGGTGGGAATTTATCATGGCGCTGATCTTACGCTAACACCTCTTCGTGCGGCAATAAGCATGTTATCGGACGTCGACCATCAGTAACACCACGTGCGACTGTGCTTCCTCACGTTATAGACAACTTATAATGCACACGTCACATCCGCGGACGCGTGCTGCTCATCAGGAAGTTATATTTATGAATGGATAATTGCCCAGACAATGATGCGAAACTTAAAACCGGAAAGAACATTGTTCAATTCATCAGCCAGGCGGAAACTTCGTGACAGACTTTGCAGATTACAATTCTATAAGCTGATTGTTCATGCAGATGAGTTTATTAATTTTTTAATTAACTTTATGTCCATCCATCTATCTATTTTTGATCCCTCGTGAAAGAGAAAGTTTCTTTGGAAACTCATTCAAAAAATGATTACATTTCAAAGTTATTATGGAGATTGAATTATAAATATTTCTTGAATTTAAAGAAAAATTATCGTATTGAAAAGATACTTTTAAAATATATCCTTTTGTGAACTCATACGTATGGAGTTCTCGTGGCTAAATTGAATGTCAAATAGAGTGGAGGGTAAAAAGAGTTATGAGCATCGTTTGACGAAGAGCATTGGTTTTTGTGGCTGAATTTATAACTGCATTCAATTTAGTTTCTTTCATAAACCTGCTTCCCCACAATCACTTAGAAAATTATTATCTAAAAACGTAAAAATTAAAAAAGGGGGCACAACCGAATAGGCATGAAAAAAGAAAATATAAAATGTCGTAGTGAAATTTAAACAACTTAATTACAGGCGCCTGCGACCCTGGTGTGTAAATTCGTTTTACTTGAGGCAGTAGTAATTACTATGATCGTAAGAGACTTCACGGTGCTCCAGTTTTGGGGTGCAGCACAAGAAAAGAGTACAAAGAAAAGATTTTTACTGCCACACACGTGATGATGACGGCGTGAAAGAAATCCAGTAATCATCGTGTCATAATAAAACGTGAGTGACTTTCACCAGTGCACAATTAATGTGTCTGATGTTAAATTCACTGGAATTTACGTTAAGCTTACTCTTTAAATGTTCATGCGAGTAGATATGCAAAGAGTAGTCGTTAGATTCTGCTGGTCGTGGTGATCACGAAAGGATAAAAGTACTTCTTATGTAAGTGTATATAACACGACCGAGACTTCTCGATTATAACTTGGCGGGATGCAGATGCAGCACGCTCGAGAGCACAATCTTTAATCCTTTCCGGACACACGTAACGGATGGAAACGTGAATTCAATTGCTGCTGAATTGGATGCGGGTGCACGCCGTAAAGAGCTGAGGTCTCCGAATGCGACTCACGAAGTGACCAAGTCTTGACCACGTGAGAAGGAGCTGATGTGTGTTGTTATATAGCTATCTAGGTGCATCCGCACTCTGTACAAACGTGCTTGCTAAGACTCTGACGAGGATACACAGAGACAGATAGAGATAGGAATCTACTTTACAAGTGAGTGCCAACGATAAGCGTATGCGTTCCCACGTCGATTCAAATGACTGCATGCAAAGTACGGTAACTCTTGTTAAAGTTGGACTACTTGTTAAGGACTTTCCAAAATATTCCCTCTCGTATAAGAGGATAATAATGGCTTAAAAGTACATCGGGTATTAAAGAATAACTTTGGATGTTAAGAACAAAACCACCAGTGTGAGAATAATATTTTTTCATTAAAATTTATTATGAACTTTGTAAAATGAGTTGATTATGTTTTAAAGAATTTTTTTTCTTTGAAGAAAAAAAGGTGTCTTTGAAAGAACTTGGCTATGGCTTATCGTATTAGCTGTAATATTAATGAAAAATAAATTCTAATAGTAAAACTATTCATCAAATTTCCAATACTTTTCCATTAAAAGTAAAATTAAAATCTTTTATACACTACGTAAAAAATATTAATTAAGTTAATAAAAAAATTTGAAATATTTTTAATAGAACATTTGATTGAATTTAACAAAACTTTGTTTGAAAACTAAAAATAATTAAAATAAGTATAGTAATATATGTGTAGATCTAGAATATTTTCTATTAAAGCAGTTAATTAATTCTAAATATTTCCTAACGAAATATTTAGCTGTAATGTTGATTGGAGGACTTATTGAGATAAGAGGTGTAATTGAATGATTTATCATGGTAATTTATTGGGTTTACGTGTTAGTAAACGACATATTGAATGTTGAGTTGTTGGCTGGTGTACTAGAGCAGCATAGAATGTGGTCTTTTATTTTCTCGTTACGCACTGCGAGAGATCTTTGTGCTGGTTATTTGCAAGTGAAAGAAGACGCACAGTTTTTAATGACGACTCAAACGAGTCGTCATTTCCTTTTTAAATACTGGCCATCTTGGGTTATCTTATGCTTCCTAATCTGGCAGCTAACGTCGTTTGCGCGTGGACTCTGAATGAGCAGATTTCAAGCTGATTGGATACCATCAACAATCGCTATGCTTGCTTTCTTTGTCCTGTAGCTATAATTTCATTACGTCATTGCTTCGTAGTTGCAATGTAGTAACATCTGAGTTACAGTACACTTTCTTGTATAATAAAATAACAGGGTCTATTTTATGTAAAGATATGTACTTCATAGAATGTAAAATTAAATTTAAAATATCTAAAGTGCATCTCTGGAGTCGTGACGATGTCACCCTGATACGTACGTCAGCATTGAGAGAAGATACTGAAGATATGTCATCGACCCAGCGCTGTCTTCTTGTCTTTCAAACACTCCCACTTTTAGTTACTGAATTACTGTTCTTCCTATACCACACGAAACAACTTTCAAGAAGGTTGCTACTCACTGAAATTGTCACCACATTGACATGTTGCCGCAGAAACGAGAATATTTCATTTTTATTTTCATTTCAAAATCGAATAAAAATTTATATTTCATATTAAAATTGTCTTTAGGGGACTATCAACATTTTGGAAGTACACAACAACTGTAATAAATTGTGTGATTTAGGTTAAAACTTGAAAGAAGCATTTGCATGGGAATATTGGTGATTATGCTGACATTAAGAGATTTGTCAAAGTGATAAGGTCATTGGAAGTAACTCATTTGAATAAGATAAATGAAGACATCGATAAGATTGGATAGAATCAGTTATCGCCTACGCGTCGGCGCGTGTGTCATTCTTTGGAATGCACACCCGATTGATTACAATCGTTATGAAGACAATGGACGACATGAGCTTACTTTAACAATATATCGTTCCTACTTATACTGATCTCACGGATTATCCCTTTACTACATCATCCAGTTATTAAGTTTATAATAGAAAAATTGATTTTCTTAAAGTACCCACGCACTCACTGGACCCTCCTCTGTATTCTTCAGTAGCTTCAACGGTAGGCAAATTGCTACTTTATTATGCAAATCGTTCTTATGCTAATGTTCAATTGAAAAAACACCAATCTCAGATGTACCAAACTCTATATAGACACATCAAGGGGATAGGAATATCTCTTTTGTGAACTCTTCCTCCCTTCAGGCTTAAAAATAGGTTTTCATATGAGTTTTTATTTACATGAGGAAATTAAAATTCCTGTAGGATGGAAAATGGCCAACAAATATACCCGATTCGGTTTAACATCCAGTAAAGAGGATGAGGAAGTTGACATAATGAAAGCATTAAAATTCATATGGCATTTGGATAAACTTTGTACATGTTAATAATGTTGATTATTTAATATTCTAGTAGTCATTCAAATATAAAATATCGTTAAACTCAATGAGTTTGCGCATATGAGAGTTTTCAACTTTTATAATTTACTTTCAAAGTCGATTATTGGCAGAGTTGAATTCCGGCATCACATTTCAATTATTTACCTAAATGCCTCTGGAGTTTCTCGAGGACTTATAAATCTAATTACTACTTTGAGGTTCGCTGTTTTTGTAACATTTTTTTTTGTTTTAGTGGGACACATTTTCTGCCATCTGCTGGATGCTGGATGAAATGGGAGATGTATTGAACAGACTTGATATGATGCGCAGAGAGGTTGCGCTCCTAGACCGTTGATTTCAGACTGCTCGAGACTGCAGTCTACACAAAAACCTGAGTCCGCCCGGGAAGCAATAAGCGAGTTGAATTAATCCTCGTGGGTGCTTCTGTTAGAGTGTCGCGCGATATTGTCAATGAATTATTGAAATATTATTTCATTTCCGTGTTATTTCGTATTCAATGGAGCATAATCAGAACACTCTACATATCAAAAGAATACACTAAAGAACAATTTACCGACGTAAACTTGGGCCATGTGAACGTGTTTACTGTCAAAGAGAGCCACTAAAAATAGTATCAAGATTTGAACAATAAATTTACATTGGAAAAAAAATTATTCCCCAAAATGAGACCTAGTATTGTGGTGTCACTTTTAATATTCTTTTTTTTCTCATATGTTGTTGTGTCTGAAGCAAAGCTTCAACAGCAAGCAACAATTGATGCCAATGACGATGAGGATGATGATGAGCGAGATGACGACGATGATGATATTGATAATTCAAGACCAGAAGTTGATGATGATGGAAGAATCTACAAAAATCCACGAAACTCACCGTCGGCAATGTGTCCTAGGGACGAAAAACAAGCCAAAGTCTTGGATCAAACTTGTCTAAGAAGATGCTCAGCTGATGAAGACTGCAAGAGCAAGAAGAAAAAATGCCGATGTGATGGGCCTTGTGGAATGTCTTGTATTAAACCGGAAAAAGAATGTGCCAAGTTATCGGAAATTGATCATGGAAAGATGACAGTTACCGGAAATCATTTCGGAGACAACGCTCACTATCTTTGTGAAGATAATTACTACATCATTGGACTCTCTGAAAGAACTTGCAGAGCCGACGGTCGTTGGACAGGTTCTACCCCATCTTGTACGAAAGATCGCAATTCTTTTTGCGTGGAACCTCCAAAGATCAGCAATGCTAAACACTATGCTCCGGTGGAGCAAAAAGGATTTGAATTGAATACCACTATTCAGTACTTTTGTGATTACGGGTATCAAGCTACTGGATTTCAAAGCGCAACATGCTTCTTAATCAACGGTAAAGCTAGTTGGTTTGGACCTGATATTACTTGCGATCCGGTGAACTGTGGTCTTCCAGCAGACATCGCATATGGATGGCATGGCGGTAAGTTTACGCGGGAAAACGAATATTTCAAGATTAATTGATGATATCTCAGGTAATTTTAATCCAATATTTTTATTATTTTTAATTTAATTTTTTTTATTAAGGAGACTGTTACACATTTAACTGCACTGTAACTTATCACTGCGTTGATGGCTATAAATTGATTGGAAAAGCTGAGAAAGTCTGTGCAGCTGATGGAACCTGGTCACCCAGAGAACCCCCTCAATGCATGCTTGTAAGACATTGAAAAAATATATATCTAATGGATGTTGTTAGAATAGATATTAAAACTGGAATGTTATTTCTTTGTTATCCTAATGAATAATTTTGTTTTATTACTTGACATTATTATTTATTGTACTTTTGGTTCATTTAATTATCTGTATTATCTGTAAATAAATTATTTCAGTTCATGTTAATGAAGTGACTATAATTAATTATTTAAGAGCCTCAAACTGCGTATTAAAATCTAGTAATAAAAAAGTTTTGCATTAAAAAAGTTGGAGGTAATTGCAAAGTTTTAGCTATGAATTTATTATTTTAAAGCTCATTACTAAAGCTTTAATTTTTGAAAAGCTTATTAAAGAATATTTTCATGAATAATATTTACTTAAGGACATTTTTTAATTTTTTCTTTTATATATTTTTAATTGAAAATTAATTTTTGATTGTTTAATTTATTTTGTTTATTTATTCATAAAATGGTTAGCTAGTAGTATTGGATAATTCCGAAACATTACCATCTAAAACAATTCAGCAAACACATAAAATTTGTCCCAGGGTACTCCGGCTCAATGTCCACTTCCAGAGAACCCTCGGAATGGCAAAGCTGTTTACACTTCCCACGCGTACAATGCAATCGTATCGTACGAATGTAGACACGGTTATGTCTTAAGAGGTAATAACACGAGAGTATGCCAAGCAGATAGAAAATGGTCTGGCCAGGCGCCTGTTTGTGAAGAAATTAATTGCGGCCTACCTGGAATTCTCTACAATGGTTGGATTGAGAATATTGAATCTGGTGAGTCATAAGCTTTAAGCCAGCAAGTGCTATTAGTATTAATCGATCGCTTTCACATCGTTGACTTTAGTTTCCTTTGTTTTCATTTTTTGTGTAACATTGTTTTCTTTTCCCTGTTATTTTTACACGTCATAACTTTGAATTTAACATCACTTTGGATGGAGATAGAAATAACATGGGTTGAAATTTAATGTAGTTATTGATTTTCTGTCTAAAGGCACTGGACTAGGAGCAAGCATTATATTCCGGTGTAAGGAACATATGAAGCTCGCAGGAAATACATCATCTGTCTGTGAAAACGACGGCAAGTGGCGCTATCCTTTGCCTCAATGTCTAGCACCCTGTATCATCCCAGAAATAGAGAAAGGATCAATCTCAATAGCATCTCATGAAGTAAACCACATCAACAATGTGACAGTTGTCGAGCATGGTGAAAGACTCAATGTTCACTGCATAGATAATTACGAATTTGCTGCTAACAATACGCCTGTTATGTGCAACAATGGAACTTGGACAATCATTCCTACATGTTCTCCAGCGAGGTGCAAGCAAATGCCAAGAGCACCAAAGAATGGAATGGTAATTGCTCCGAAAATGAATCACGGAATGCGGGCAATCTTTAAGTGCAAAGATGGCTTTACTCTTGTTGGTGGTGGACCAGATAATTCCTCAATGTACGTTGAATGTAACTACGGAACTTGGATTGGCGAAATTCCTCATTGTGAGGAAGTTTATTGTGCATTTCCTGGCTATGTCAAAAATGGAAAAGTACTATTAGTTGGGAATATGGGTGTCTATGATTATCGTCCTTATGTCAAGAAGGTTCCAAATAATAAACAGATCATGTATGATTGTGATAAAGGATATGTATTGGATGAAGGTCCTACTGGAGCTACGTGTATTGGTGGCAAATGGAGCCCTAAAGAGCTACCTACTTGTTTACGTGGTCAACATCCTCGATTACGATGGAGCAGACGTAGAAGATCTGTTGACACTATTCAATCAAGTGCTAATGCTACAACAAACTTTAAAAAGTTTATCGAGTTTTTCCGGCGAGTTGGAAAGAAGCTACTTCATTTAGAATTGGAGAAAGCTCAGGCGAATGAATTGAGTGACTCTGAATTAAAAGACGTGACGTTAAATTATGAGAATAGCACAGAAGTATTCGATGGGAAAGAGAAGTTGTTGAGGAAAGTGAACAGAGGTAGAAAGAGTGAGGAGAGAAACAGAGAAAAAAATATTGATCGGACAATAGATAATTTAATTTTGAAGAAAAAACATCCTTATCATAAAAATAAATCCCGTTCAAAGGATGAAAAAATGATTGAATTTCTGAAAACAGTTTATAGAAAACTAAAGAGAATTGACTCAAAACGTATGAATAATGGAACAAATACAACAATGCATGATATTTTAAACTTGATGAGCAAAAACTTTTTCCATGTTGATTTGTCTGAAACACGTAAAAACAATTCATCTCGTAATCATGACAGCTTTGAAGTTCGTAATCAGCGTGAATTTATGAAACTGAAGCGAGAATTTGAGAGAATAATGAGGTTCTACAATAAATCGCTTCGTTGGAGCGAAAAACAAAATCGCAAAGAGTCGAAGAAAAGGAAGACAAAAGTTCACGACAATGAGAAGAAAAACGAATCAAAATATCGAAAACATAACAAAGAAGATAAATTGAAAAATTATTATAAAGGATTTTATGAATTTATTGATGGATATGTTAATGAGAGATTATCAATTCTTGAATCGCAAAATGCCACTGATGATTTTATTGATAAAATTGATTTGGACAAAATGTCAGGAAACAATGAGTCAACATTTACTATTGGTGAAGTTTATGCGTTTTTCAAACATATCATAGAGAATAAATTAAATAATGACGATTCAACATCAACTCCATCAACTACAATACCAGAAACAACGTCGTCAATGAAGACATCCACAGTTTTGAATAATGAAAAACATAATCAAACATCAACAACACCAGTAACAACAATAATCCCTAACAATTTCACTACACAAATTGAACTGGTAAATGAAATTCCTTTAGTAGATAACAAGACAGAGATAGCAAAGCATCGCACAAAGAGGATTCGCAATGTTGCAGAACTTAAAGCCAACGTTACACATCAAAACCGTAAGCTGCTCTCTGTGAGCTCACAACTCAGTCATAGCCAAAAACCTAGAGTGAAACGAGGCCAGAGCAACGGAATTCAAAATTTGGAATCAAAGGAGTACACTAGTGGAGAATATACTGCTCAACTAAGTGATCAAGAAAGACAGTCAAGAAGATTTATATCATCAACAGAAATAAACAATCAAATAATGTTGAAAAATTTATATTTAAATGCATACGAAGATGAATACCGAGCCAATACTAATCGTTCAATTCTTGATGATACTTATAACACTGATGATAATAATGATAATCGTGCCAATCAAACAGTATCACGACGTCGTAAAGGAAATCTTAGTTTTTATGATAATGAATGATAGGTTGACAATTTATTTGTGATATTATTAATTATTATTAAAAAAAATTTATTAAAATATTTATCGATTATTGAATCAATTTTAGGTGAATATACACAATAATATTATACGATAGTTGATCATTAATCCTTTCCACCTTTCATCCACATTATAACGTGTATTACGCTTTTTCAATAAAAATAAAAATTTTTCATGCGAAATTTGACTTCTTAATAAATTTCTGTTAATTATGCGGAATAATAATGTCCATTTCGTTTAATGAAGCTATTACTTTTTTACAATGTTTGAAAAAAAAAAATTCAAACGAAAATTTCAGCAATATTGATGCATCAAAGGGTTATTGGAAAAACTTTGTACAAGGAAAAAATTAATTAACTATTTTGTAGGTCACAATAAATATTCATTTGTTACAATAAAAATTATTTAAACGCATCACTTTGTTCTCTTAACATGAAAATATTATTATTTTGATCAATTTGTTTACAATGACATAATAAAATCCTGTTAAAATATTATTTCTTTCATCCTATTAACATGAAGTAACATTTTGGTTAAATCTATGATAATTATATGTGAGATGAAAAATATTTATAAATATAATTATGAAGAGAAGTGAAAAGTAATTTCTTAATCAGTAGCTGTAAATATAATAAACAGGCTGGAGAAAAGTAAGTCGTTGCTCTGAAATGTCTGATTAAAGTCTACATAAATAAGTAGACGTATAGGGGCCGCGTAATTCGCAGACTCAAGTCCTGTCTACTGGCTGTCAAGTATCAACGGTATCATTAATTACGCAGCAATAATAATTCGCGAGTAAGGCAAGGGGAAACGAAGCGTGTGAATGAGATTTCATCTGCTACATCGATCGCTCGTTAAAACGCCACAGGGGGACTGTCGCACTTTTTTTTTTTTTAAGCATGAGAATCGATGAAATGTTATTTCAACATGAGCTTTCGCTCGACTGAAGCTCCCCGAGTGCACATGCAACTGCATGCGTGGGTTGAAAACACTCGTGTCATTCAGCAGTAGGCTTTGGATTAAATTTAGTCGATTGAGTATACAGTCATGTGAATATTGAAAATGAAAAAAAAAAAAAACTTTCATTCATCGCATTTTTGCTTGATTAAAAAATATTTTAGATTTTTTCATATCATACTCCATTTGTATGCGTGACCACTTTACATAATTCCGTCCATTCATTATATAACTTTTTTATTCCTTTATCAATTATCTTAATTACTAATCAGCAATAATTTAATGTACATTATTTGAATGATAAAATCTATTATAAAAATTCTGAAAATGGTGGAAGGTAATGCTGCCTCATTTTTACTGAGATATTTCTTTTTTCAAAGTTTACGTGATATTATGATTTTAAAATTTTGACTCCAGAAAATGTCGTGTATCTTGGAAGATTGAAACTTGAATTTTAAAGCTTGTTAGAAGAGTTCTGAAATTTAACAAGGTAGAGCATGTCTTGGGGCTTGAAGGAAACAAAAAAAAAGTACATGTCTTCGAAGAAAAATGTCTATATGTCATTAGTATTAGTGGATCTTATAAGTCAGTTTATATAACAAAGTCATGATAAAATTTCAAATATTCTTTTCATGAAACTATAACCAAGTATTATATCATCCATTTAAATTCTCTTTCAGATAAATCTGACTCGTTGAAAATTTTTACTATGATAATAAAAGTAACCAATTACAATGCATTTGAATTTAAATAGAAAATAAACTATTCGATTTCAATATAAATCAATTTCTAAATAAAAGGAATAAAAATTGATGATGAATAATGATCTTTGGTTCTAATTGATTTCAAAACAAAACAAATATCAATACAGGTTATAAATTATTCTAAAACTAATATGCTCTCATACAGCAAAGATTGTTACAATCTATCATAATAATCTCCAACAAGAATAAAATCAATCCGACATTTATTTATAGTATACTCTAATTTATTTAGCATATACTTGATAAAAAAGGATAGAAGTACGTTACTAATGATGCTAATAGACTCAAGTACAACTGGAACGATAAGAAGTCCAGTTAGCTTGATTAGTATACCAGTCCTACAAAGAAAATTCCTTCTGATATATAGAGCCACTAAGTGTTACAAAAAAAAGAGTTAAATAATTCATCGTAGTCAGAGACTGTGATTTATCAGACTTTCAACTTGGTGGTCTGGAATATTATTTTGTCGTAGTCCAGGTAATCGTTTTATAAAATCAAACATTTCCTAAACATTTTTACTTTAACAAGAGTCGATCGTAGGTGTTAGATGGGTTGATAGATTAGCAAGAGCAGGTGAAAACTTTACATTCATGAGTTGGAAGTAGGCGTAAAGAGGGAATGAATCTCCATGAAAACGATGAATGAATCTTTTGAGTAAATAAGAAGTGGTCAGTGAGAAGGACCGAATAGCTGTGGATGGTAATCACATTGAGAGTAAGGAGTTAAGCAGTCCGAGCTTCCTGCCAATTCATCGTCCAAGTGTCAAAGTAGGATTGAAATTACCCAGAAGCACGAGTTAGTTGATGTTCTAACATAAAAACGGAGTATTTTAATAGAAGGTTTGGTCATATTGTTATTCTGTAGGTGAATATTCCAAACGTGTCACAGGTTTTCATTGTCAATTTTGCTTTAAAATGTCAATGGACTTCTACTTTATCCCCAGTCATGGTCAAATCTGTTCAAACGACTTTTAACAGTTATGTTAAGTGAATAGAACCACAAAGCTTTTACCAATAATGACAACAAATTTAGTGTATACATTTTTTTTAAAGTTAGAAACTTTTTTCAAACTAAATACGTACAATTGTATGATATTTCGAAACTAATATCACAGATAGAGTATGTAAGCATCCAAAGTATAAGTCTCGTTTTAAACTAAAAGCAGTGTACAATGAATACATACTGCTGAGAAGGCCAAAGCGAATTGTAGGTCTTCTAGACGTTTTCTTTAACGTCAATTTTCCAGGAGCACTTGTGTTGCAAGCCTTTTTGAATTTGTAAGAGGAGTAAGATCTCTTTGGAGATTGCCTATGCTAGAAGAAAAAGGGTAGGCTTTGAAGCCAGGTGTATATTCAAGAGTCTTCCTTAGCTATGAGCAAAAATTCCGTGGTCCTCGGAGGATTTTGCTTAAAGAATAAGAAATGGATTGAAACTTGTGAAGCGTCTACATTTTTTTCTCTCAGTTTGACGACTACACATAACGATCGCTAGGCCCCACGGTGAACTTGCATTTCTCTTTCTAACGTAGGTTTCACAAAATGCTGGTAGTTGGCAAAACTTTTGGAATAGTTTATGCTCCAATGCATACCAGCTGGTATTCTGAATCTGTGATTATAACACTCTTGGGTTTTTCAGTATCCTCCACAGACTAAACGAGGCGTCGGAGCGCATAAATGACGAGAAAAACCATGAAACTAGCTATCGAGTTCTTTTATCGTAAGGAATTTATACCAAAGACTCCACTGGATCACTAGGTGGTCTTGTATTCCTCCGAAATTCTTTTTATTGTGATTTGTATATATTTTTTGGACCAACCTTTTTGACCGCTCTGTAATCAGTCAAGTGTTACAACCATTAACACCGATCTCGAGACTTTTTAAAGTCACGAATTTCAATAACGTTGAAAGAGTTTAAAAAAATCCTGTATAAAGTACTGCGAATTTCTCTCTTAGTTTCTTGGACTTAATGACCCAGAGGTACTGCAGCTTGTGATGAGACGAAAAAGGGTCGCACCTCCATTTACCCGTGTGGTTTTCCTTCTTTCATTCTCTCTCATTTCTCTTTTTCTCCTCGTAATATTTTCTTTTTATTTTTTAACAATGTTTTGTACGGCATTTTCAACTGAACCAACCAAGGCATTCCCATGCGAATGTTTTAAAGTCTTTCGAGGTGCGATTTTAAAATTTTTCATAGGGGAAAAAAAATTTCATTTCAGGAAATTGGTTAAAGGTGCAGTTAATGGCAAAAACCTGTCAGAGAGTTGAAGTAGTTTCGCCGGATTTGGAAATTAACTAAATCTGAGCATGACTTTTTGCTGTTATTTGGGAGCAACAATGCCTGTAGGAAAAAATTAAATTATTCAGAAGTTAAAATATATACATTAAGTAAATTGCTATAATTGTAATTAATTAATTTTATTAAGAACAGGGTAATTAGTTTTATTCAATATTTCAAATAAATTTTGTTAATTTACTTTGAAAGTAATGACAAAGCAAAAAACAGAGTTCCTATCACTTGGGGTAAATAAATAGAATAAAACATTAGCTCGTAAAATACTCACGCATGCAGATTTATCAAAGTGTCTGTCCAAATATGGCAAATGCACCTTGCCTCTCACATGCGACTTGGAGAATTATGTGGTCGTCCCACAAACGCCAGATTTCGCGCCTCTAACCGTTTAAGGCGACGAAGAAGAGGCGAAATGCCGATTATAAACGTCAGTTGATTTCAATAACGAATCGTCTTTTCGTGTCTGCTCTTAAGTGAATTTTGATGACCAAAGTGGTCAACGGCACAGCGTCACATTACCTTACAGCTATATCGCGTGGCCAACCCAACCCTGTCAATTTCTGCTGGTGTCTAATGAAAGAGTAATGTTCTTCTACATCAAAGAAAATGTCTCTTGTTCATGATTAAATACAAGGATATAATAATTACAATAATTAATTATTCAATAACTTTCTAAAGTGCACTCTTGGAGTCTCTCATCAGTCAATGGAGCTGTGGAAAAAATTGTCCGTCAGTAAGAATAATTATTTTGTCAGAATACTGCTTAAAGTAATCATCAGTAAATTTGCAAACGATGCCGTGAGCAAGTTAATCAAATTCACAGAAGGCTAAAGGAAATTGCTGACTCTTCATGGAGTTCATGTGTGCATGTGGAGCTTTAATTGCTGAATTTATTCGCTCTCGTTTTCACGCAATAAACAGTAACGTCGTAAAACTTACTCGGAGTAAATAACTCTTCAATTCCTAATGTAATTAATTTGAGTCTTTTAACTGATGCTTAATGAATGATGATTACAATCATTTAATTTTAATGATTGTTCAACATATAAAATTTCATTTCAATCATAATGAATTTGAAAGTAAATATGAAATCATTTTTTCTTGTTAATTAGATATTGAAAGTTTATATGGTACTCAAGCGATACTTTTTAATTAATTTTAAGCACTTCAGAAAATTTTCAAAGCATTCTCCAGTAAAGGATTCTCAACCGAAATTAAATAAATAAAGCTAGCTACAAAAAGAAGTTATTTCAATAAAAAATCCATCGTACTTTGCTTGGTTATTCTTTTTATAAATCTTTATAGTAGAATATTTTTCTAAATGTATATATTTTTGTATGCTTTGAAAATATGTAAAGTTAAAAACGAATAAAATAAAAATATCTTTTAAATGTAAAGTAGACTACTGGATTCTGCAGATAATTAATCTTCTTTCATAAGTTCAAGCTTAAAAATTTAACATTTAATATTCAAAAGAAATATCATTTCGTCTGAATTGCATTCAAGTTATAGATGTGATTCCTAAATGAAGTAACCATGAATCACAGGATTTCAGGATGAATTAAACTCTTTGGTGGGATGGATTCGATTCTTAACACATTAAGGATAAAGTACAAGGATAGAGAATAAACTGCCGGTGGTCTTTTCACAATAATAATACACCATCAGTGTATATAGTACTTTTATCTCACTTAAAATGACGATGTTCATTGTGAGCCATTTCTTTTTGATTCCTCATCGCAGCGTCTTCAAGGACCTCCTCTCTATTCCGTCTATTCACTTTCCTTGTGCTTTTTATTTTATTTTCCTCTTCTTCTAAACACACTGAGAACCTTTTTGTAATCGACCTCAGGCGCGCACAGGTGGTACTAACAAAAATACTTCCACATACACAGAACCTCCGGATTATGACAGATAAAAAAATTGCAGTGCTGTAAAAATTGCTCTAAAAGCCCCCTGAATTGATGTTAAGGAAAGGATTATATTACTGAAATTTGTTTTATTTTTATCTTTGAAGAGTTAAAAACGATAGAGATTTTTCTCTGATTATTTTACGTCGTCCTTGAGCCACTACGAGAAGTATAATACTCTTTCAACTCCTGAGATTGGAAGGAGATTGGATCCAATTTCTTCACGATGAATAGAACGAGTGAAGCGACGAATCGAGAGGAATAAAAGTTCGATCGTCAGCTTTCTATAGATATCATTATACTTCAATTATCTATCGATGAGTGTTCATCATTGTAATTGGAATAATTTCACAATGTGATTAGTAATGAATAAAATAAAAAAGTGAAGAATAAGGTCGACTAATGTCTGATAATTTTACTCTTCATTCATTCTTAACTTTTATTTAGCTTTTTTGCTGCCATTATGGAGTATAAATACATGTCCTTGTTACCATGAAACGAAATTTTTGATGAACCCTAACTCGACCTAATCCAATATAAAGCGAAGGCTTGTCTTTTTCTCACTCTGGATAGCTTTTCTTTTGACTGATGAAACTGAAAGGCTGCGTTGTATCGTGGGGTAAATACGTCAACTGCACTTGATGCTTCATCAGTGGATAATGATGACTCTTGTACCTTAAAAGAAAATGAATAGAGTGTCTGTGATGTTTCTATATCCATTTCAAGAATTTCGTTCAACTCAAGCTTTTTTTTTCCGGTCGACATGTGAGAGAGTTCACAGGAAAGCAATTTTATTTCTGTTATAAAAATTATTCGTAAACTGTTTTATAATTTGAGAATCAAAAAAATATTCCTACATTCTTCCTCAGCATATTTCAAATTTTTTTCAATATTATTCTCTTTATAAATTCTATAAATTCTTTAATGAATAGGTTTATTTATGGTTTATTGCCAGATATTAAAAAGGATGTTTTTTTTATGTAGAATTAAACTATATATTCTAGTAAAATTACGATTAATCTTAATTTTTTATTCTCTTATTCTTTAGTCGAGTCCAATCTTTGGATTATGACTAACAGGACAAAATAATCGCTACTAGATAGCGACTTAAGGAGTTTCTGAATGGTGCCTAACGACTTCGTGGCCTCGTCATGGGGATCTTGTAAGAATGCTTGCACCAAATAATACGAACTCACGCTGTGGAGCTCATCGTGATGTGTCTCTTGAAGCTATACAACGAGTACAGTGTCCACCTACTCAGTTGTCACTTCGTTATATCGCTGTGATCCTTTAACCTTTCCTAAATCCTTTTTTTTTATTCCCTATCATTTTAAATATCTCGCTTCATCTGCATTAAAAATCATTGAAATATCTTCCTTGAAATTTTTAAATATTGTTCACTGGCATTGTTTATTATTCGTACTTGATATTTTTTATAAAACATGGGATATAAAAAGGTTCGAGTCTCAGCCGAGTGTATTCTCATAGGGATTCAATTCAGCTTAGGACGACCTGCTGAGTCCTTGTGTTAGTGCATTCGATGGACTTTGAAGCCACGCGAAGATGCAGGACTCTAGAGGGGATGAAGGAGTCGTCTCAAGAGAAACATTCGCATTTTCTTTACATCCCCTGTTTTAGCGACGTAAATCTAATGTTCTCTCTTTCGTCTGATTTATTCATCCACCACTCGTAATCCTCCAACTGAACCAGACGTTTACCTCATGACTTTTCAAGAAAAACAAAGTGCTTAATCCTAGAGCTGATGCTTTACTCTTGTACTCAAATTTGCATCAATTTTGAATCATTTTTATTTACTTTTTTCTTCTTCTATTCTTAATGCAGTCTTAGAAAAAAATTTTGACCTGATCTTGTAGTGCATGTTTTGGTATAATCCTGATCCTCGTGAACATAAAGCCAAAGACCCCACGCCGTGACCGAGTGCAAACGGCGACAGGATGGCGCGCGCGTGACGCTGCACATTGGCTACGTGGTCATTGTCCAGACGACATTACAGGCTACACTATGCAGTGAAACATCACCGTAGCTTGGTAGAAAATCCTCCAGGACATCTCACCGAATGGACCTCACGCTAAGATCGAGAACTTGTCAAACCATAGCTGGAATAGGTCGTGACCACACTGCTCCAATGAGAATTCTTTGCTTGTTCCTTAAGTATGTTCGTTATACATGTTGAACGACGTCGATGGCTTTTGGTTATTTTAGGACCCACAAGCGTGATGATCCCATGCGACGAATCGTGAGGATGGTTGTTTTTATTACTCTCTCTCTCTCTCTCTCTTTCACTCGTTATCCTCAAATGTTGTAAAGGAGAAGCAGAAGAGAGACTGTTTGAGAAACAGAAATAATTGGTATTATTTTTTTATGAATTAAGAAAATGCACTTAAAATACTAAATATTAGAAAATTATCAGAAGGCGGACAGTCTAATGGAAATGTTTTCATAAACAACAAACTTAATCTTGAAAAAAAACAAGCACACTTGATGTTATTTCATATATTACAGGCTGTTGATTGGTTCCCAAGATGTCTCTTGCTTACTTTCAACAGTATGTGGTTGACTGCTTACAATTTACCTCCATTGAAATGTCGAAGATGATGAGACTTGGCGTTGAATCCTCTTGGATATGTCTCTTAGACCAGAAAACAAGTTGGCTCTGTGCCAAGCAGTGCAAGGGACACTGCAGAGTTGTGACAATACCTTCCTACGCTTGTACTCATTGAACCACGCCTGAGAGTGACAACAATACCTAACGTTCTAACCGAATATTGGAACAACTTTTGGACAACTGTGTGAATCTAATTGTCTACAGCAGTCGACGCTTTCCGGAAATCTCTTTATCCTATGCCCACGTGATGTCTTCCTTGACTGATCAAACTTGTAAAGAGGAACACTCCTGATGTCCAAAAGTCTATTCAATCTGTTTGAGTAAATCAGCAACGCGTGCCAGTGAAATTTTCAGGTGGGAATAAAAGCCACAATAAGAGAGGAAATACATCATGTTTGCTATTTTCCTATTATTAAGACCACCTAGAAATCTTTTTTTTCTTTTTAAGACCTCCCGGTGATCTTAAAGGTGTGCATGACGATTTCAAAACATTCTAATGAACGTGAGGTAATCAATTTTCATTGGATAAAGTTCTTAACTTTTTTCTAATTCTATTTTGAAGAAAAAAAACCCAAAATATTTTTTTTTTTTGCTTACAAAATATATAAATAATATAATTTTCAACAAATATTGATTTGCTTAAAACTGATTGGAATTTAATATAAAGACAAAAGAATTAAACTTCAAATAGCATTGTATTGCAACATTATTATAAATTGTTTTTGTTGCAAATAATTATTCAATAAAATAGAATGTAGCGAATGAATATACCGTTGTGTTTATTATATTATACGTTTTATGTGTGATAATTAATAAAAAAATATTATAAGCTAAAAAAACATTTTAAATTCATTTGGGTGTAAATAATATTAATGACAATGAAACAAAAAAATGAGTAAATTATATGAAGGCGTTACTCGCAAAATGAAATTGCTGTTATGTGAGAGAAAGTAGAAATAAGTATGTAATGAGAAGAACAAAATACACCAAGTATGTATATAGTTTGATGTATACTCACCTAGTCTCGACCACCTGTCCTCTTATTTTTACACTGAAAATAGAATCAGCAAGCATTGCGCTAGCAAGATGCTCTTCATTGGCAGTAATTTTCTATTTTACTTGATTCAAACTCACATGTACATCTCTCTGCTTTTTATATTAGCTGATTATGTTCTTGTACCTTTCAAACCTAACCTACAAATAATGAGAAAATAATTATTTCTATCTACGAGATATGTTTTGCTTCTAAATGTTAAAATATCTTCAATAGGTACTTACTCTAATAGAAATGATCATCAAAAGAAATTAAGCTTCATAATTAATCAAAGTAAAATATAAAATTCCATTTATTCAAATAGGGAGATGGAAAAATATCTCTTGACTGCATGAGTGATTCTCATGAACTGAGTGCTTTTTATTTTTCGCGTCCTAACCAGTTCTAGATATCGTTGGATCAACAACAAACCTAACCTATGACGTAATCCCGTTATCAATCGGTACACGTGCAGACTATCTAAACATAAACAATCAATAAGTAGCATGATATATCACAAATAAAATACAATGAATGAGTTTTGTTCGTACCTTAACATTCGTGGATTCGAATAAATGAAAAGTTTTTATATCAAGCCAAGAGGTTATTTAAGTTTCCACAATTTTTGTATATATTATTGTTTATATTAATTTTTTCACAAAGAATATCATAAAAGAAAATGACTTTTTATTCTTACTAAATTTTTATTCACTTATTTTCGCAACAACGAGCACCTGCCGTGACTCACCGCTGAAGAGCTCCCCCGCCGAACTTTGCGGATTACAAAGACTTAAATATCGGCCGTTTGCCGTGAGTAGGTATAGACTCTTCGGTCTTTGAATGAGATCCATAAGAGTGTGTTAAAAAAAAGTAAAAGTTAAAAATGAGAATAAAAAGTTTATTCTAGAGACTTGGATGGAGAACATGAAAAATAGCAGCCGTCAGGATTAGCGAATCGTTCAAAGTCGTAGTCCGTAAAAATTGCAAAGCCTCAGCGAGATAGCTGCCAAGGATAATTCACCATGAGTTCGACGGTCATCCAAAGTATATTCAGGGTCGATAAAATAAAAATTCTTCCAACACAATAAAATCAATTGAATAGCCAAAATGAACTAGAAACATAGAATGATTCATTTGAGCAAAAATACTTGGCACAATAAGTTGAATAGAGTTAATAATATTAAGCGTTGAATCAGTAATATCACAAAAGATAAAACATGAGAAAATTGGTTAAAAGGTAGATGAGGATAGATATCTATACTAAATGAAGACGCCACCCAAGGTGTCAGATGAGACCAGATGGCAGTGTAAGATATGAAACCATCTTCAACGCATTAGCCATTTTACGGTGAGTGCAAGTGAGTGCAGCTGAATGTCAGGATATGGCGGTAAAAAAATTAGATAGACCTGAGAAAGATTGTAACAAGTGGGTGACAATAATATACCTTGGAAACAACCGAGACGAACATCTACTTTCATTCCAGGTGGTCTTTAAGTCTGCCCAAGAGATCATTTTGTAGAGCTCATCGAGGGAACAAGATCGGACTATGATATCCGACTTTAAATAATTCATAGCCCATTCCTCAACGTCACGTTCGCGTTTACGATAGATATTACTTCAATCTTCTATTACAGTATTATCCTAGGTCAGTGTAGAGTTATAATCTGATAATACTGAGTAAGCAGTTGGTTTAAAAGAGTCTCTGCATGGATGACGTGTATAAAGCTGATGCGCAGCTGCACCTTTGGAAAGGCTTGACGTAGTGCTCGTGCCACAGTAAGAGTCCATGCACTTTACCGTGATTGTTCCAAGAAGAGTAAGAGCGAAATGAGACTGAGCGGGGGAGAGAAAGAAACCTGAAAGATAAAGAAGAACTGAGATCCGTGAGCGGAGCAATTGCAACCGTGTCGTGCTCAACTCTTCATGAGCTTTAGATTTAAACACCGTAAAGATAACCTTGCATATACTTTTACAAGACTTGTAGTAATAACATTTATTCATTAGCCATTTTTCAATGTTCTTTAAAAGACCATTGCTTGAGATTAATAAAAAAAAAGTCCAAATCATTTCTTCTTAAATAAAATTAAATACACAATAAAAATAAATAGCACTGAGATCTCAGTATAAACGTGTTTATCAACTTATTTTCTATACTATCTGTTTTATATTTCTTTTTAGGACTTTAGATAATTTTTAAGTGTTTTGAAAATGGAAAAGTTGTTATCATACCTAAAACTTTTATTTAAAAGCAAGAAATGGTATAAAAAATTTTATCGGTTTTCTGTTTGAGGAATACTGCTGATATAGTTTCGAGAATTGTTCGTTTTTTCTGTCGTCAAAAGCTATAAAAATACAGTTAAAAAAAATTCAATTTATTTTGAGTAGCAAATAAAGTTGTTGAAAAAAAAAATTTATTCTACTTTAATATCAAAGAGAGAAGTATTTAAAGAATGTTTAGCTACCAGGTGGAACAATGGGTTCTTCTTGGGGGTAGACTTGATGTATGTTCAGTTATATCACGAAGAAAGAGTTTCCTGGCAACGAGATTAAGTCTGATTGCACTCCCGCACAGTCTGCATGCTCATTACAACTACTGTTAAGTCTGCAGTGGATTATTCAGTACCTTCTCCTTCATCTTGACGCCGCTTTAAGAGCGATCATCATCAAATGTTTAAAAAAATTTATGAGATACCATCGTGCAGTATCCTGTGGATTGCAGATGTCATTTCAATCCCACCAAAGGATTTCAATATTATTTTATAATCACTCAAAGCTGCGCGTGTCCAATCACCTCTTCTTTCTTTTCTGTCCCAATACAATTCCTCCTTCCTGGTCCTCATAATATCAGTCGGAATGATTGGGGTTGCTATACCTCCATTATCATTCCAATAAGAGGCTGCTCCATTCTATTATCTCGCCAATCCTGATTGAAAAAGAGCCAAAGTTTTAAATCAATGTCCGCACGACAATTAACTCACAAGTGTGAGTGAATAGCTGATCATCTAGCATGAAAAGGAAGACAGAATCAAGTGAATCACGCGCACGCCACCTGCCGGAGCGTGACCTCTTAATGTGCATGCTGAAGATATACGTGGCTCTCGGTCTCCACGCATAAACATCATACCTTTTATCTTCCTTCTCAAGAAAGATCCTTCACTACAAGTTTCTCCTTTTAACTCAGATAAAAATATTATTCGAAAATATTTTTCTGTAGGAGAATTATATTTTTTTATTGATATTTTCAATCTAAATTACCGAGATAGCCTTCTAAAAATCGTCTCTATTGATAGCTGAGAAATTTACTTTCATCTTTATAAATGTCGTAGCTTTGGAATAAATAAAATAGTAAGTACTAAAAAAAGGATACTATTTTAGTTGAGCATCAATTCATTGGTATCTTGAAAATAGTTGTTTTGAAATAAATCTTACACTTCCTTTGATGCATTTTACTTTTCTCTCGTGAGCTGAGAACGTAATGACCCTGACAACCTCCCACTATCCAGCAAGAGGATGTTGAGGGCATCATCCTGGCCAGCACAAGACTACATGCTGCGTGATCTCAGCAGGAATTCGTAAAACTTGACGGGCTTATATTTGTACCAATGCAATTATTCGTGAATTCTAACACGTAAGACACTTTTATATCATTTTCTTGCATCATCGATCATTCGCTGGCTAATTTTACTGGCGGTTTATTACTACTGATGTTGGTATCTCGCGGTAAAGTTAAGAAATACTTTAATCAGCGTTCAGACTATTATCTATATTAAAGAAGAAAAAAGAAGAAGGTAAAAAGAGGGAAAGAGTACAAATGCCGACGGCATCGAAAGAGGGAAGATCGTTTGGACCCCTCATTCGTCATCGTTCATCAACTGATCACTTCTCTTGTCTATCTCTCACATTCTTATTCTTTTAATCAGCGCCATGTGCAGATAAATTAAATACTCAAGTGTAAAGTTAACGACAAAAATATTTAATTTTCATTTTATTATTGATATAATCTCCGAAAGAATGCTTGAGCTATAAGAAGATAAATCAAAGTATTTTTTTTTCCTTTCAAAACGAATTATAAAATAGAAATAATTTATTTACATTCTATAAAGGTATTTTTTCACGTAGTCTATTTTCATTCACGTGAAATTTATGTTTTATTACTCATAATAAAACAAAAAGAAGGGCTCAATTTGCTGATGAATATTTATATGAAGTATTAAAACATGTTTTCGATTAATCGTTGATTACTTGAAAAAAAAAACTAACTATAAAAAAGATAATTACATTAATAAAAAGGGTACTTATTTGATTGTAGCTTTATTATTTCTGTAGAATTTTAAATTACGAGGAAATATAAATTTAATAATGAATAAAAATAAATTGAAATATTCGCGATAAAATATTTTATTAAATTTAACGAAATTTCAATTGAAAAAAAAATGTAGCTTGATTCTTGGTTCAAGATTATGGTGAGTCTAAATATAAATGACATTAGATTCATTTTCACTTTCTCAGATACTATGGATGATCGAAAAAGAAGTGATCAATTCAATGAAACATTAGAATAAACCAATACTCAGATAATTCTATTCGACTTGTTAAAATTTTTTTTTCAGAGTCCAAAACTGAAGCTGAAGGGTATTTTGAAAGTAAGCTATTATATTATATTTGTTAAATCGTACTCCAAGTGTTATGAATTTTGTCATATTTATCTTGAACATAACGGAGTCGGCGTTAAATCAAGTGCCGGAGGGTAAGTAAGCAAGTTCATACTCGTATCAGGCACCTGCTCGAGGGGGGCCGCGACCCCGGAGGCCGATGTACGCCCCACACGTATGAGCATAAGCAAAGTATGCTGGTGCATAAAGTCGAAAGAGAGACGGTTGTTCTCTGATTGACGAGGAAGCTCCATCGGACGAGTCACCGGGTGTGCCCGCAAACCAAGCAATAAAGCACGTGCGCGCATAAACGCGAGAGAACGATCTCGGGCCGCGAAACACCTGCCTGCTCTTGCTTGCCTTCTTGGACTTGTCTTCTTTTTCGGCCTCGCGGCGTTATACTCACATAAGACAAGTCAGTCCTACTCTTAGCTTTTGAAGAGAAGGGGGCGTTGATACATATTTGCTTGTCCGCGTGTGTGAGTCGACTCTTGAGACTGCTGCACCCAAGGCGAATAAACTTGCAGACGTGGCTTTTGCGCAGTCACTCCTGGGATTCCTCGCGATGAATAATGCTGTCCGGATATCTTGCTTGCGGCTGTGCCATTCAGTAGAGTTGCTTATATCCTTTTTACCTTTATTTCTAACGTACTTGGTCACTATCTCGAAGAATCAGTCCCAGGGATGACCGTAGCTTTCGGTTATATCTGTCTTGTGTACGTCGGATTTTTTCCACATGCCATCTTAAAGAACTACACGTGGGATTGCAATGATATACCTGCATTAAATCTTCCACAATAATATCCCTACTCTATTAAAGCCACGCAGGTGTCCTTGTGTATGTATGTGTAAGAAAAAGGCACGCGTAATAATCTACAAAAGCGCGTGCGCGTGAAAGTTGCATTCATCGCAAAGTAACTCAATGACACTTGACAAGCTGTCATGACAACTGGGAACGCAGTAATTAGTATTAATACGCTTGCCAATCATTTGTAATGCTTTTTTAAAATATCATATTCACCTGGCATTCGAAAGTTTTCGCACTTCAACTTTGTGTCCATTTAAAAAATAAAAATTCGCAATGAAATGTCTTTTAAATCAC